TCTGGCTGCATTTCGACGTTTCTGCGCCAGAAGACCTACCCCGAAACACATGTACAGCGATCAGGGTAGAAACTTCATCGGAGCATCCAAAGAATTTCAGAAGGAATACAAGGATATCCTCGCAACGATCAATGAAGAGCTAATAAACAAGATCGACGACCTTGACATACAGTGGCATTTCAATGCGCCAGCCTACCCTTCTGCAGGTGGACTATCGGAGGCTGCCGTTAAGAGCTTGAAACACCACCTTCGTCGTGTGATAGGAGAGCAAAATCTCACGTACGAAGAGTTCATCACACTGCTTCACCAGATCGAAGCGTGTCTAAACTCTAGGCCTCTACTAGCCTTGACTGAAAACCCAGATGATGAATACCTAACACCGAGACATTTCTTAATTGGAGGATCACTGATATCAAGACCACAAACAGATCCTAATCACATGAACTTGACAAGATGGCAGATCATTCAATTCAAGCCAGTTGTGGAAGACATGGTCATCTGACTACCTACAACAGCTGCAAGTTCGTACCAAGTGGAGAACACGCTCAAAAAACATCGAGATCAACGATATTGTCCTAATCAAGGATGAAAACTTACCCCCCTGGCAAATGGTTAATGGGTAGGGTCATTGATGTTCACCCTGGTAAGGATGGATATGATAAAACCAAAAATGGAATCATGCAGAGGCCGATCTTAAAACTATCCGTTCTACCGGTGAGAGAAGAACTCACGGAACAACATACAAGCAACGACGTTAAATCATCTACATGTGATGACGTCACAACAGCTGACTCGCAAGCAAAACAACAACGACCAAGGCGCACGACGAGAAGGCCTGTCAGAACATTCTTTACGATGGTGGTGATGCTGTTCCTATGTCTGTTCACCCCTAGCCAGTGTTCATACAACATATCAGCATTGGATAACAACCAAAACATTTATTTTGACAAAATGTATGACATAAATCTTATACGAGATGAATGGAAATTAATTGTGTACTATAATATGAGTACATACTGGTCAGCATTAAGTCACGTTAAAAGTTACGTCGGTCACTTGGAAGAGTACCTACACGGCATTACGCTTCCAGTACAATACAAGAGTATCATATATCAGCTGCAACAATAAATATCCGAAATTCAACATTACAACAAGATACTCAAGAACGGTGTTCACAGAAGACAAAAAAGAGGACTGATCAATGGTGTGGGATATGTGGCCCATTCCTTAATCGGTGTCCTGGACGAGCGTTTCGCGAAGAAATATGAAAGGGACATAGAAAAAATTTCTATGAACGAAAATCACCTACAACTTCTGCTTCGAAACCAAACAAGTGTCATAGAAGCACAGTACAATATTCTTCAAAGAAACGAAGCCATCATGAACAAACAGTTTGGGTTGGTTCAGAAATACCTACAGAATATAACCTTCACTACCAACCGAATAGAGAAAATGAATAACGACGAGCTACATATCCTGTCAGCATCCATGTCAGCCATGATTATTATCACTAATGTTCGGCACATGCAGGAAAGTGTTATTAACACCCTAACAGACCTTGCAAATGGTCATATGGACGCTCACTTATTGCCTCCAGAACAATTGGAAGAGCAGCTGAATATTATATACAGACACATACCAAATGACCTGACTTTGCCTGCCGATATTCACGACTTTAGGGAAATATACAAATTGATGAAGATAAGTGGTGACCTTAGCAACTCTTATCTGATTATCGAAATTAAGATTCCTCTGGTCAACAAGGAAACCTTTGAGCTGGATAAGGCTGTAAGTCTTCCGCATCAGAACTACATTGTGAAATTTATAACACCCTACTACTCTGTGTAAAAAGTATCGGGAATATGTCAATAAAAAGACCCGCGTAAAAGAGGTCGTTCTAATTTTTTTTACTGCATGTTGGTAGCACTGTACTGATTTAGCGCGCAAAGTTTGAGCGGGATCTGTCATTTAATTTGTTTTAAACTACACTTTTTGTTGGTCATAGTTTTGAGTTCTCGGCGATTTTTACAATGGAAAATATTGTTGAACAAAGAGTGTGCCTTAAATTTTGTGTTTCGAGTGATATTTCATGTGGTGAATCACTAAAAATGTTGCGAAATACCTACGGCGAATCGTGTATATCGAAAACAAGGGCTTATGAATGGTATAAGACTTTTAAAGAAGGCCGAGAAGTAGTAGTAGACTTGCCTCGTTCTGGTAGACCTTCAACCGCTACGATCAAAGAAAACATCGATAAAATCAAGAAGCTAGTGCTCGAAAATCGACGTATGAGTCTGAGAGAGTTGGCTAGTGAGGTGAACATATCTTTTAAGTCCGTCCACAACATTCTCATTGACATTTTAGGCATGAAACGCGTCGCCGCTCGACTATTTCCAAAAGAGCTCAATTTTGTTCAAAGAGCGCAGCGAAAGCATGTCGTTGAAGACATGGTTTCCCGAGCTTCTACGGATCCGACCTTTATGAAACGTATAATAACTGGCGACGAGACATGGGTTTATGAGTACGACATGCAAACAAGCCAACAGTCTTCAGAATGGCGTCGCCCCAAAATCAAGGTGATGCTGACAGTTTTTTTTGACTACCGTGGTGTGGTTCACTCCGAATTCCTTCCAAAGGGAGAAACAGTGAATAAAGAATATTATTTAGGCGTCATGAAGCGTTTGCGTGAAAATATCCGCCGAAAACGTCCAGATTTGTGGCAACACAACTCATGGATGCTGCACCATGATAATGCACCATCACACACAGCCATTATAGTGAAAGAGTTTTTAGCGTAAAATTCAACAAAAGTTCTCGACCAAGCACCGTATTCACCTGATATAGCTCCGTCTGACTTTTTTTATTTCCCAAGTTAAATTACCACTTCGAGGAAAACGTTTTGAGTCGACAGAAGCCATAACAAAAAAATTCGCTGAATGAGCTAAAGGCCATACCGCAAATAGCCTATGAAAAATGTATGGAAGACTGGGTGAAGCGTTGAAGATGTATTGCAAGCGATGGGGCCTACTTTGAAAGCGATAAAATAAATTTAGATGAAAATTTGTATTTTTTGTTTTATTGACAAATTCCCGATATTTAGTACACAGAAGGTATATCGCATTCAATCTGCAAAAAGATCTGCTCCTCACGCTATCAGAATCCGACATTCAAAATTGTGTCCATACACAGACAAACAGATTGTTATGCTCTATAGATAAACCGATTTATGAGTTACAAATAAAACAAGCAATTTGTAACTTGAGCATACACGATAAAATAATGTGTCATACAAAGGAGGCGCCGTGTCGTGAGCGATGGATTAAGTTACAATGCGATAACAGGTGGCTATTCTCTTGCTGTGGGAAATGCACAGTGCGCATATTTTGCATCGACACTGGAATGATAATGAAGTCACTGACCGGGAATGGCTTACTACAAATCGGTCAAGGTTGTACCATCAAGAGAGACATCTTTTCAATCTTGATGGTACAACCTCGGCAATGAAAAAATATTTGGTCACAACAACTACTTGAGCCAAGTTCAAGTTCAAGAGGACATACCGATCCCATCAGACACTTCCATATTGAATTCCATCCTAAATACTACTTCAGGCTTCCTGCAATTTACATCCGAAGACCATGGAGACGAGTGGCGTCGCATGAAGGCTCAGATTACAAACCTCAAAGAACAAGAAAGCGCACCACTCAGCGTACATGACATACATCAATATTCAGTTATATACACAATACTGGGATTGATCTACTAGCGGCATCCATTTACATCATTATACGATCGCAGAACCAAGAGAGCACTGAACATGACGGCAAACACTCCCGTAATCTCTATTCCTATGGCGGCAGTCACGAGCGGAGTCAGTCAGGAGCAGGAATCTGCGCCAAGGACGATACCGCGATCCGTGCGACTGGACATTCCATCACAAGTGTAGTGCAGTGATGAAATATTTAAGGAATTCGTTTATATTATTTTACGATTTTATTTTTGTACTTTGAATTGTTATCATATTATTATTTTTTTTTACATTCTTAGTACCTTTGTGTTTATAGTTTTCCCTCTTTTGTACTGGCAGAATGTACGGGTTACCGCACATATTTTATGTAATTTTAATTCAATGACTCGTTTATTTAGGTCACGCAGAAACAATGCATTTGTCACTTGCGAAATCATGTAACTTCCGTACTTTTGCCTATACATCAATTTATAATTCTTTAAAATAAATTCAGTGTTAGATCGACTTTCATTGGGTTTGTTTCGTACACTAACTTTCCCTTGCATCCCATCTGCACTCATTCATCTTATACTGTATACACCTTACACCATCCGAATTTAAAATTTGTGAAAAAAAAGTATTTTTCTGAATTTAAATGAAAAAAAAATACTTCTCGGTCTATATAAAACACAAAGTGTTTCACAACCTATGCCCGTTATAGACATTGAAAGCATCCAACCGATGTGCCATAAACCGGTTTAATTTGAAAGGCTACTATAATACGAAGATGGTTTTAGAAAGGCTTTAATTTATAATTATTAAACCTTTGCAGAAAATTGGGGAAAAAACACTTTTCTTACTTTCATTTTTAAATTAGTATCACTTTTGAAGTAAACCTGTATTCAAGTTATACAAAATCTGATTGTTTATTTAATAAAGTTTCCATTGATATATGATTTTAATATACCTTTTATACAAAATGTCTTGGAAATAGTAATTTTAATGAACAGCGGGAAGTTGTCTGGAAGTACTTGGGGAATGCTCGACAGATGCGCCATATTGGCCAAAATGACCCCGAAATGCGATGAGGGGGATATGATACTTTTCTTGTTAGTGGTGGTATCAACTACTCACAATCATTAAAATGTTAATTGAATATTGTATATCAATGAAATCTTTTCAAACTTGAGTATTACCATTATCAAGATTACTGGTGTCTGTCTAAACCTAAGGAAGAGAAAATTTGTATGATGTTGGAGTTATAAATACTCACTGTCCGTCGTTCTTGCCCAGCGGCTCGTCGTACTGCACGCCGATCCAAATGCCGTGGGCGCCGTCCAGCGGACCGTTGTAGCGCACCGTGGCGCGGCGGCGCGGCTGCTGCGGCACGCGCACCTCGCACCGCGCCCCCACCACCACGCTCGCGGCCAGCCTGTTCACACGTACATACGTACACACACCCACACGTACATCCTACTCTAATAGCTGCCAGGAAAACTAATGCGGCGCGCGCACCTCGCACCGCGCCCCCCCACAACCACACCCGCGGCCAGCCTGTACACACGTACATACGTACACACACGTACATCCTACTCTAATAGCTGCCAGGAGAACTACTGAGGCGCGCGCACCTCGCACCGCGCCCCCACCACCACGCTCGCGGCCAGCCTGTACACACGTACATACGTACACACACCCACACGTACATCCTACTCTAATAGCTGCCAGGAGAACTACTGAGGCGCGCGCACCTCGCACCGCGCCCCCCACCACCACACTCGCGGCCAGCCTGTACACACGTACACACAACCCACACGTACATCCTACTCTAATAGCTGCCAGGAGAACTACTGAGGCACGCGCACCTCGCACCGCGCCGCCACCACGACGCTCGCGGCCAGCATGTACACACGAATACACACCCACACACGTTTACTCCTACTCTAATAGCTGCCAGGAGAACTACTGAGGCTCGTGCGCACCTCGCACCGCGCCCCCCACCACCACATTCGCGGCCAGCCTGTACACACGTACACACGTACACACACCCACACGTACATCCTACTCTAATAGCTGCCAGAAGAACTACTGAGGCACGCGCACCTCGCACCGCGCCCCCACCACGACACTCGCGGCCAGCCTGTACACACGTACACACACCCACACACGTATATCCTACTCTAATAGCTGCCAGGAGAACTACTGAGGCTCGCGCACCTCGCACCGCGCCCCCACCACCACACTCGCGGCCAGCCTGTACACACGTACACACGTACACACACCCACACGTACATCCTACTCTAATAGATGCCAGGAGAACTACTGAGGCACGCGCACCTCGCACCGCGCCCCCACCACGACACTCGCGGCCAGCCTGTACACACACCCACACACGTACATCCTACTCTAATAGCTGTCAGGAGAACTACTGAGGCGCGCGCACCTCGCACCGCGCCCCCACCACCACACTCGCGGCCAGCCTGTACACACGTACACACACCCACACACGTACATCCTACTCTAATAGCTGCCAGGAGAACTACTGCAGCACCCGCACCTTCCACTGATTACTGCTTAGTCACCAGAGGTGACGGCCTTCTAAATATTCCTAATTGAAGATAGATGTAAACTGTGCCACAGCATACACTTACCATCAGCAACTGTGTGCTTGTGTGTTACCTTGGTGCTGATTTAAGCAATTTTTTTTAAATAAAAGGCAAGAATACATACAACGTACAAGCTAAAAAAAACAATAATTCTGTTTAATACTAACTTTGCCTCTTCTTCAAGTTCCTGCTGCAGTTGCTCTTTCGATTTTTTCACCTCTTCTTCATTGTATTTGCCCAGTTTATTTTGTTGTAGATATGACCGCAATGTGTCCCCCTTCTTTTCATAATCTTGTTCAGAAAGTTGGAACCTGCGTAATATAAAAAAAATTACGAATAATGTAATCATTACTTTTACATCAAACATATTCACAATTGAAGTGAAATTGTAATGATGTTGATGACAATTATAACTGGAATATTTACAGCAGCTTTCCATTGCACTCCTTCATCAGCCCTTAAAAGTCCATAGCAAGACATGGGCTGTCTGCTTGTAGGGAGGATTTTCTTCATCCCGCTTGGCAGAATGATACTATGCCTTACCAGATGTGTTCCTGCTGTTCTTCGCTGGTCTGGTTATTTTATAGGCATAAACTAGGTGATTACACTAACATGTATTCGGAATAACATTTTTCTAATCTTGAGAGGATACAATACCTCTTAGGACCACCTATGAGATTAAGCGTGATGTTGGATTCATACACCACTACCACACAGCAATCCATTGCACATGACGTTAAAGTGCCACAAGTGTACGTACAAACAATTCATCTAAAATTTCAGTACATGCCCCTTATTAGCCACAACTATTTAAAAAAGCACTTAGGAACTATCTTAATATGCTCCTTACCTTTCATCACTATCAGTAGCAGCAAAATCTTTGACAAGAGTGAAATTGTCAATTACATGTACTCTCATACCATTATCGATTGGGCATGAACTAAGCAGTGCATTATCATTATCAATGTCACAAACAAAATTGTTTTTTACATCAAACAACTTTAACTTCATAGTTGCAGCTGAACCTCCAGTCACTAGTTCCAATTTTTTCTATAAAATATAAAGAAACAAAATAATTTATTAATTTGGAGATCCTACAAAGGAGAGGGAACAATAATAATAGCTCATTAAACCTATTATCATTTACTTCCATAATTTTATTATAAAAAGTATGCAGTTTGCATTGATGGTAATAAATAATAGTGTTGCTGCTGAGATATGCTTAATAAAATACTTATAAAATTTAGAATGTTTCTGTAAAAATTATAAAATTAGCCTCTTTAAAGTCTAAAACACATACAAAATTATCTATAATCACACACACTGGAGCTGGTTTACAAATAACCTGCTATTAAACATTTTATATCTTGTCACTTATTTTGTTCAAATTGTGATATGTGTTATTGAAACCAGGGACAGGAGAGTCACTGTTGTGAGTATGTTCTCTAATCTACAGTCTAAACTGACTTTTGTTTAGACTATAGTAAAATAGAGAATTTCATATAGATTCTATAATGCCAAACTTCTTTAAAGAAAAGTAGTCTATAAATATAAGTTTTAATGGTTTAAAGTGTTGTGTAAATTATATTCACACAAAAACTTTCATAACAATTTTATAATATAAATAACTGTTCTCAACTTAAAAAAAAAAATCAATGCAACTATGTACAACAACAAACACTCAACAATGATGCACTTTGAATGTAGATTATAAATGAATATCTATAGACTAACTTAATTTTTATTCAACAAGAGGATAGAAAATTTCATATTGATTCTATAATTCCAAACTTCTTCATAGATAAGTAGTCTTTAAATATAAGTATTTATGGGTTATAGTGCTATGTGTGGTCTCATGAGACCGCTAGTGGATTGAGCAGTTAATAATGTTTAAAGGTAAAATATAACCAAAATTAAATCATTCATTTTAAATTATTATTTATTATTATACAAAATTAAATTATTTATTATCAGAGAAACAAAAAAAACTTGGGAGACGGGCAGCAGCTTAAAACTTGTAGTTGGTAACCAACCTGCTAAGTGTGGCAACCATGGTAAATCGACTGAGGTTATTTATAGAGGAGGCCTATGTTCAACAGTGGACTTTTGATAAGCTTATATAAACAGTAACAGTAAACACTATTCAGATTTTTTTATGTTAAGACCTCTTAGAGAGTAGAGAACCACTGTTATCACTAGATTACTGTCTATTATTTGTGAAACCTGGAAGAAAACAGAGGCTGTCAATTTGACTTGTCAAAATAAATGATTATTGATCATTAATTTTGATAAACAATGATATCAGAAGTTTTGGAAATTTACTATTATGGTATATGGCACTTTGTAAGGTTCTAATATATTCAAGGATAGGCAATAGGGTCAATGACTACACAACCTGAATAGACGCCTCATGAAAGACGACCACTTTCTGTTAACACATCAGACAAATAAGTCTTATATAGGAAAACGATCGCGCGATCTACTTTAGTAGCGACCACTTCCCTGACCCGTGAACATCTTGCATTTGACTCATGAATTTTCGACAAAATAAAATACAACAGACGCGCAACATGGTTTCCTGTACAATAAAATAGTGCAGAAATAGTTGCCAAATGTGTAATTTAAAAAAATGGTGACATTTTTCATAGCATATGAATTTTAATATCCAAATTCATAAATTAAAATTAAATCAGAGCTCAACCTATATTTGTTTGCAAGTTGCTCGCGTTTATTTATTCGGACATCTTCAGATATTTTCCGACTATGCATCCCTTTCTTTTCAATGAAGTTCATTGTTGCTATACTTTTCTTTAATTACCGGCATGTGTAACTAGTGCTGTACCAGTTAAACTATAATATTGGTACAAGTAAATATTATGCATGTTATCGTGAATGTTTTACAGACTTATACTATAAGCGACATAGGTGTAAGCTGAATTTTTTTAGTGAATGTACGTTAATCCATATTTTAATTAATTGATTTAAAAATTAAATCAAATTATTCAAAACTTCTTAAAAATAATTCATACTAAAATTGATATAATTTTTAATAGACGCCATGTCAAGACAAGTAGTAAACGGAAGTGAACTTGACAGTAACTGTTGCTATTTTATTTTTAATAGTATTCTATTATTATTTCAATATTGTAAAGAAAGCTTGTTTTAATAAAAAATATTTTTTAAAACAAAAAATTATAGGTATTTTACTAAATGTGATACCTACTTAAATAAAACTTCTTTTGTTTTTTTTTTAATTTGGTACTAATTTATAGTAGAATATAATTCTGGTACTGATTAAGTAGACTTTGTACCAAATTTATTTATTTAAAGTTCCCAACCTTGATTTTAACCAATTAGCGTGCATTTCAACCCACCTCCCCCTATACCTATACCGCTACCCCCTATACCGCTTACCTCAAACTTATGACAGACAGGTTTGGATGCAGAAATACATACATTAGGCATCTATCCGGGCTGTGTAGTCGTTGCAATGGGGTTATTGGTTAAATAAAATAGATTAATTATCCAATTAGTTGATAACTAGAAACCAATATATAGCTTCAGCTCAAAATATACAAAATTGGTAGATTTATCAAAGAAACTGTAAATTAATGATTTAGTAAGAATTAAATATATTATAAGTGTATTATGTATTATAAGTATATTATATTATATTCTGTCACTGTGACTGGGACTCCCCGTCCAGGGGGTTTATCTGAAGCATCCACACTCGATTTTTTCTGCCGGAGCAGCGTGGAGGTATTTTTAATTATTTTTTAAAAATATTGGTAAATGACTAATTATGTTTTTGACGTTTCATCTGTCAATGTCATATCGATATATAGTAGTGAATCAATATTTCACCCTAGAGAATCAAGATCGAATCTTTTTCTGTGTTATTAAGATTTGTAAAATTATTTACAGTTAGTTGAATGTACCCAAACTCGTAAAGAATTACAGTTTTTAATTCAATCATTCAATGTTATCTGTACTTTATTGTATCTTTTGATATTGTAAATATAAACTTTTAAAGCAAATCAAAAAAAGATCGATTTTTGCGAAATCGATCCTTAAGATTTCGATTTGAATCGATTTAAAAATATTGTAAAATTAATTACTAGGCCGGCCATTTTGTTGACAGCTTTTCGTCATGCCATTGCTTCTGAGTTTCAGAATTTTGGTGAATAATGAAATATTTGTGGCGGCGGAATACTGCTAAATATCACAAAGATCCTTTCTTACAAATGGTGGCAGCCATAAATTATGTTTATAAATGAAAGTAGTTATAAAAGTTAATATTTTGGTGTTATATCGAGTGCAATAGCGAGCGAAGCGAGCCCTGGACGTGGAACACCCCGACTTGGACAGGTTAGATTAGAAGAGGATGACGTCACCCTCTTTGTGGTTATTTTTTTGTAAGCCATTCAGAACTAGGAGCCCGTCTGGGGCTCCGTCGACCGGACTTCCCTCAACTGCACCACGTTAAGTGGCGTGGGGCTTCCGTCCCCCAACTCTCTCTCCCCATAAATCATATTAAAATTGTCATAAAAATTATGAAACATAACTACAAAATGAGATTTTTAAAAATTTATAAAAAAAACTAAGCCGTCCAGCAGAAAGGGGAAGTAGGGGGTGACTCTACAACTCCTCCCCCTCCCCCCAGCTCCTAATTCAGGCGACCGAATTGTAAACCTTACCCAGACATGCAGAAAGTTGATGGATTTAGGTGACTTAGGGCCATGCTGTGCCACAAAATATGGTCCTTGCGGGAGGCCTACGTTCAGCAGTGGATTTGTGAAGGTTGTAATGATGATAATGATGAAGTAATAATTAAGTCAAGAGTTCAAAACCACAATTCAACTAAGTACTGTCATGATTCATGAACCACTCCAAAAACAAAATAAAATTATCAATGGAAATGAATAATGTTTCAAATCACTTAAATTACATTATGGGCACAATATATTTATTTACTAATTGTTTCTAGGGTTGCCTTTTAGGATCTAACAAAATTTTTTAAGTAATATTCTTAGGATAATAACACTATAGAACACAATATCTTGCCGGTAGTCACGCAGTTATTTATAAATTCGGTAGACATTTTGTTAGCGACGATTATTGTTTGCATGAGATTTACTTAACAGAAAAGTTAAATCTTGATAAATAGATTGATATTTCATAAATTACTTATAATTAAAAATGGATTAAACACACACTTCAAAGGTAATTGAGTAAACGTTAAAAAGTTGATATTCATCATATTTACCCTTACCTTAAATTCTAACACTGTAATGTCTCTCTTGAAACGCCTTTCAACTGGCGCCGCATCTTCATTATTAGAATTAGTTATATTAAAATTCACATATTCCTGTGTTCCTTCCATCATTTATTATCAGAAGAACAACAAGTATCTTTTAGTTCTATAGAAGCTTCCCTTCAAAGTTGATGCTTGATGCCTTGATGTTGATGCCAGTTGATGCGCACATACCATAGATTACTAACTATGTACTAGAGAGCACATACAGGGGGTATGTTCCGAAATACAACGCAGTGTACTGTCCAATGCAAATGACGTATCATTTGACACTTTATTGTACTAGCGTACCGCCGCCATATTGTGTCGGATATCCGGCCATAATAAAACAATTTTTAATTGTGTGTTTGCCGAATGAAGCATGCCAGAATTTGTTTCTATTTATTCAAATACAAAAAATTATAGAATAATTGATGGTATATCCATTGGGAGGATATAATGATTTTTGGAGCACAAAATGACAAAATAATCGCCAACACTTTTCCAAATGGCGCAAAAGTGTGACGTTATATACTGTCCAATGTTTTGGAACGAATCACCAGTATAGCGTCGATTCATGACGTCATTTGCATTGGACAGTACACTGCGTTGTATTTCGGAACATACCCTTGGTCTGTGGGTCTGTCAAATACTGGACACGTTCCAGTCTGCAGATATTAAAATTTCAAAATAAAAAAATCTCATTTTATAGATCTCAATAACCCCTTTCGATCTACTGATTACGACCTGAGAAATGATTATTTATTACTCTACCAAGCGTGAAAAAATTGCCCTTGCGATAATTTAATTCGAAAAAAGCGAAACTCACATCATCAACAGTGTCAGTGTAGCATCAGCTGATCTGCAGTTGTGATGTGAGTTTCACCTTTATTCTGTCGCGCATGCGCAATGCGAAGATAATTGGCTTGGAAATGCCACGACGGTTTTTTATTGTTTAAAATAATAATTATTGAATATTTTTAAGAATTAGCACGCGGGCAAATTAAATTATCGCAAGGGCAATTTTTTCACGCTTGGTAGAGTAAAAAATAATCATTTTTCAAAGAGATATGGCTATTTTAAGTAGAGGAAAATTGAAAATTATAATTCTATTTTTCCTGGGGAAACGAAAAAACGTAGGTCGAAAGGGCTAATTGAGATCTATAAAATGAAATTTTTTTTATTCTGAAATTTCAGTATCTGTAGGCTGGAACGTGCCACCTCTGTCAACTTTGTTCTACGAACAAGATCTCTAGTATATACACAGTAACCTATGAACAAGATGTAGGTGGGCTAGGAAACAAGAGAGAGACAACAACATCAGGTAAAAGAGATGAATTATATAATGTTGCCATCAAAAATTTCGTATCCTTCAAAACAATGAACTTATGAATTGATTTTTAAAGTAAGTTGCATTTAAAAATAGCTATTGTTATTATTTTGATGCGAAAAAATATGTTTTGCTAAGAAATATTACGTATTCAATTGATAAAGATAAAGATTTAGATAAAGATAAAGCAATAATGTGTGGCAACAGTAATGTCCACACGCCATATTGATTATGATTATACCCCTTTAGGGGTATATGTGTTCTGTGGCACCATACCATAGATCCGCACTTTCAAATTTCAAGCAGCGTTGTTAACATGAAGTTAAAAGTTATCGTAGAGAGAATTCTCTGTCTACGGAAGTTATAGATAAAACTTCATGGTTGTTAATGGTTGTTACTTGTTCCTGACAAATTTAAAGTTGCGTTATTCTAACTCAAAAATTGCCGGATTTTTAGGGAAAACTAAGAAAAACGTAACGTAACGTATATACAAAATATTTATTTAGAAGGTTAAAATAAAAAAGCACGTGAAATACATGTTGTTTACATAATAAATAAGTGTGTACTATAGTTGTACTAATTTTATTCTTCACCGTATAGGTTTTGAATAGTTTCCAGTACTTCTGATTTTATCGCATTTAGATCGTACTGTATTTTATCTTTCATTTTATGAATCATTTCGTTTGACACTTGAAATTTTGTACAATTACCGTGATTATAGATTGCTTGTGTGGCTCGAGAAGAGTTCGATTAATAGTTGAAGTTATTAATTTATTTCGAAGTTTCGTTTTCATATTATTTACTTCACTGAAGATACGCTCGCAGTCTGCGTTTGAGTGTGGCAGACATAAAACATTGAAAGCAAAAGATGCAAATTTTTTTAGTTTTCTTTCATCACGGATTTTAATCCAAAACTCTTCGGTTTTCTATGAGCTAATTTCATATAATGGTAATTTATTTACCACTAGTAGCATTCTCCATTCATCATCAATTTTTTGGAAATCGTCGGCATTATTGACGATTCGTGGCAATTTTTGGATAAGCGGTAAATTGGATGGACAAACATTTCTTGTTTGATTACTAGCTGCTTCTTCAGGTGATAAATATTTTAAAAGTTGAAGTAAATCGGCACTGAAGTCTACCTTTTTTATTTTCTTTGCAGCCTGTGGTGAGGAAATCTCTGCAGCGAGAGTAAAACTCTTTTATATCTTCTTTTTTTGCTGATATATCTGGTTTTTGTGTTTCTATCATAACTTTTACCCCCAAATACATTTGTGGGAGGAAATATCGCGTATCTTCTGGGAAGATTAAGTTGATGTCATTTTGTTGAACATAATCCCTTTGCATGTAACACATTAATAATTCTTTGTACGTTACTCCTATATGCTCATCCAGTTCCATCAATTTTGAGTCTGCGCCTTGAAAGTACTCGTTGAGTTTAATAAATTTTGGTAATATTGTAATATCTTTGCAGAAATAATAAGTAAAGCTTAATAAAATGACCCTGCAGATCACAGTAAATTAATTCTACACCTTCAGTTTTTTATTCGAGCCATTTCTGGGTAAAAAACAATTTAAGGCTGTTCCACTCTTCAAGCAGCCTGTTCACAACAGATAGCAGGGAAAGCCACTGAGTTTGCGATGGGTGTAAAATCTTATGAATTTTTGTGTTAGTGAAAACTTAAAATTCCAAATATTGGGCTTGGCGTTTTGAATTCAGTTTGAAAAAAACCGTAAATATTTCGCGCTAAGTCTTCACATCGTCTTGGTAATTTTTTGCATGCCTCACTGGCACACAAACGCATAGAATGGCATATACATTTAAAAATAAATATAACCGGCAGATTTTCTCGCAAACGGCTGGCTATGAATTTTGCGATCCCATCATAACGTTACAGCCGTCTGAACCGAATCCTACTATATTTTCTAACGGGATCAGCAAATTTCTTTAGAGATTATACATGGCTTCTGCTGTAGCTTCCTCTGCTGCCATCGTAAAATCACCTGTCTCAAATAAAGGTGCCTGTTCCTATAGTGAGGACATGACCTTTTTTTGCTGCTCATCAAAATAACGGATAATAATGCACATTGTTTTTGTGGCCGAAATATCTGTTGATTCATCGACCAGTACACTGAATTTATTATTTGTAATAATGTTGTCCTAATAATCTTTTTGGAAATCACCAATAACTTTTTTTACCATAGATGTGCTTTTTTTTTCGTTTTATGGCAATCTCAAAAGCAATTCTGGAGTATGGATAACAAGATTTTAGCAACTATAATATGTTGTGCTCTGCAACGAATGCACTAAGTTTAATTTCGGCTTCCATTACTTTTCTATTGTGATCGGTTTGTCGATTCTGAAAGAAAGTACTAACGTCTCATGTAGAAGAACTCGCTGATACTTTTCTTAAGTGTTGGGCGTTTGAAACATGACGTTTTAAAGTTGAAATTTAACAAGAAAGTTTGACAATGTGCGAACATTGTATAGGTCGTGCCACGAAAGATGAAATTAAATAGAGTCCACTGCGCATGTACAATCAAGCAGAAAAATGAAAATTTTATTATGGCATTTTAATATGTAAAAGGTCAAAGGTCAATATTATAACTATACATCAGTCTCCACGAAAACTGAACGATATATTTATATATCATCGTTAGGTTTTAACTGCTTCTAAATAATATTCTGTATTTTATGTACACTTAGTTAAAGAAATAAAATATTTTGTATTTGTATTTTTGTATTTGTAATTGCTGTTTAAATTATACTATGCGATAACCTTCGATTATAAGGATATTTTACATGCAATAATTTGCGAAAAAAAATCAACTTGTAGAAAATAACAAAATATTTACAACTTTATACAATATACTACTAATTAGAGTCTATACAAAACAGTAAACAAAGTTACGCTACGCTACTCCAATCGATTGTAAATCAAGTTATAATGAGCGCGGCGACACCTAATTCAACGGTTTTTTTTTTGTAATCGAAAGCTAGCGAACGGTTATATAAGGTTATATAAGAACCTGTATATAGTACTTTTTTGATTTTTGAGTGGCGAATCTTGAATAAAAGCTCAAAAATAAATATCAAGTGCCTAAATATAGATAAGAGAAAAATACTTTTTTTGTCAACGTAAGGCGCGCGTCAGCTCAATTGCATGAGTGACAACCACCCTGAATTAGCCACTTGTAGGCAGCTGCGCAGCGTAGGTATATTTGCATGCCTAAAGCGCGGAGTGAGACAGGTCTGGTTTTACAAAAATAAGTGATATTCATTCTGTAAATACTAGGAACAGCTACAAGTTCTCTCGTCTGAGCTCTACTTTTTGATTTTGACATGAACTTTGAGTACTCGTTTGATACTCAAAGGACACGAAGCTCAAATGAAAACATGTTTAAAAGACAAGAATCTAAGCCAAAAATCTTATTAAATAAAATAAAACAGTTGATTACTTGACAGATGAAATTTGTTGATATTGTTGTGTACAAGAGAATTTTTATAGTTTGTTGTTAATCTAATTTAATGATGGAAGGAATTCAGATTATAACACAGGATTATGTAAATATTCACATAACCAAATCTGACAGTGAAGATGCGGCGCCAGTTGAAAGACGTTTCAAGAAAGACATTACTGTTTTAGAGTTTAAGGTTAGAATGAATCACAATCGCACATTTTTAATATTTACTTGAGTACTTCTGAAATTTGCTATGAATAACATTTTATCCATTTTAATAACAAAATATCAATAAAAT